AACTGGCCACTGTAACCTAGCCAACCTGACACATAAAATGAACTACCACAGTCTCATCCTTCCTCATCCTATAAATGATTTGAGACATGCATATATTTTATAAAATGATTTAAAAAGGAAATTGGGGGATGCCTGGGTGGCTCAGTTGGTTAAGTGTCCAGCTCTTGTTGCTGGGTTAGGTCATGGTCTTGTGGTTTGTGGGATCAAGCACCGCATTGAGCTTTGTGCTGGCAGTGTGGAGCCTGCTTGAGATTCTCTCTCTCCCTCTCTCTCTGCCCCTCCCCTGCTCATGCTCTCTCTCTCTCAAAAATAAATAAACATTAAAAAAATAAAAGAAAATGAATAAAAAGGAAATTGGAACCAGAACTAAAAAATCAGAGTCAGATTATTCCATTTCATATGTAAATTAAATAGACATAGAGATTTTAACTGATTTGTTCAAAAGCTGATGACAGAACCAAGGCAGTGAGCATATAATGAGTCCCCTGAGGGCAACCCGGGCCCTTGGATCTTAACTCCAGACATTTTATACTGTGGAGAATTCACAGTTCTGGACTTCCTTACTTTGAGGGTCATTACCTCCCATGGTTTGAGAGCAAATAAAATAAATGAGCAAATAAAAATGTTGTCTAGGCCGTGACAGCCTAATTTATTTCCAACCAATTACCCAGGCACAAGAAAGAATTGATGGTGACAACATTCAACCTGAGGTCTGTACTTTAAGAAAACACTGACATTAAGTTTCTCCAAACTTTTCTTTTTAACTTTTTTTTTTTTAACATTTATTTATTTTTGAGAGACAGAGATAGAGCATGAGCGGAGAAGGGGCAGAGAGTGAGATACAGAATCTGAACGAAGCAGACTCCAAGGTCTGAGCTGTCAGCACAGAGTCCGACACAGGGCACGAACGAACCCACAAGCCGTGAGGTCATGACCTAAGCCCAAGTTGGACACCCTACCAACTGAGCCACCCAGGCACCCTGAAACAGGGTGCTGTCGAAAAAGACCACCAGCCGAATAGAAGCGAGGCAAGATTTTATTCACGGCTGGGCCAAATCTGATCTCCTGACCTTAAGGAGGAAAGTGCAGAGAATGGCCCCGAACAAAGGTAGTAGTGAGCTTATATGGATTTTAGCAAGTCAATACGTAAACAATTACAATTTACAACATTTCATGGTAGCCAATTATATTGTGACACACAGACGTTAGTTTGGGCGGGAACCTATCAATTTAAAGGTCTTTGTCCTAAGAGGGTTTAAAATGATCATAGTTTAGACACCTAAGATGCCGCGGGGCAGCGAGTACGTGACTTTTTACATGTTGGTCTTGCCTAGGCCAGATCTTGGTAGAAGGGGTGGGGGAGCGTTTTGCATCCTAAGTTATCTATTTAGCAAGCAGGCGAGGTTACAGAAGTGAGATAGGGCAGTTAGTAATTTCCGATAACCCTAGTAGGGGACTATATAAGCCTTTTATCTCAATTATTTATGAAAGGTGAGTTTAAGCCAAACTTATATACAATAAGCTTTCCGATATAAGTTGACCTATTACACACCCCTCTCCAGCCTTTTGTTTTTTGAAATCCCCCACCCTTTTATGTTTTGGGAAACAGTTTATCCAAAAGGACCACCCTTCTCTAAGTGACTTAAATAAGATTAACTATTGAGTCTCATGTCTCCCTTGTTCACCTGTGACAGGGTCCAACACATATCTTTTCCCTTTTGCCTAAACCTGCTAACAAGGCCAGACACAGCCTCTCCAATTCCTCATTCTTTGTATTGTTAATGATTACCTAAGATTAGAACTGTCTGTCCCCCTGAAACTAGCTAGACACAGAGATAATCACTGGGAAATCCTGTCCAGTGAACTGAGACTTGTGGTTGCAAAACAACCCCACCTGTAAATCCCCCCACCTGTAACTTGTCTACTCCTCCCTATAAAAGGCTAGGCCACCATCACCCTGCCAAGGGACTCTAGTCTTTGGATCTGGGGTGCCCTTCATATTGCAAATACTGAACAAGATCCATTCCCTTACTTGTTCAGGTTTTATCTTTGATAGTGGCATCGAAAACCAAAGTTTAAAAAAATTTCTTTAATGTTTATTTTTGAAAGAGAGAGAGAGAGACAGAGTGTGAACAGGGGAGGGGCAGAGAGAGGGAGGGAGACACAGAATCCAAAGGGGGCTCTGTGCTTACAGCAGACAGATAGCCCTATGCAGGGCTCGAACTCACGAACGGTGAGATCATGACCTGAGCCCGTCGGACGCTTAACCGACTAAGCCATCCAGGTGCTCCTAAAACCAAAAAAAAAAAAAAAGTGATCTAAGAGATCTGGGAGAGATGGATCACAGACTCACAAGGAAAAAGAAGGTGCAGTTGCCTCAGGGCTGATTCCTAAATAGCATACTGTGGCTCATAAAACCTGTACCTCCTCAACCAGGTTATTAAACTATTACCCATTCAGCTTCAGGGGAGGGAGAACAGTGAAGGAGCCCAATAAACGATTTCTGAATTCAATCGAATGAAATCTATTAATTTCTTTAGCACTAATCAGGGGGAAGCTAAAGGCTGCAGAAGGGACAAAAACAGCCCCTGACGAAGGCTGGCCTGGTACAGCTCCACGTGGTGTGCTCCTGCTGAACACAATCCCCCAGAACACCCACATTGGACAAGGTTACTACCCAAGACTATGATAAAGTGAGGTGAAACAAGGCCCCTTGATAAATGTGTCCAAGCACAGACAAAAACAAGGCCATGGTGCCATGCACGTAGTACCAAACGTCCTTCTATCTTGGCTAAAGTGAATGACATCTGTCTTACCAATTTCAACTTTTTCCTCGCTCTAGCCTGACCTCCTTATAGACAAGATTTATTGAGATAGCCAGGGGTCGAATTGCCCGTTTTCTGACAGCACCCAATCTAGAGAGAATGCGGCTTCTTAAATCCTCCCCCTTGCTTTGGCTGGAGGACACTGACTTGGTCCCATGGCTAACGTACTTGAGTTTATACAGGCAAATCATCTGGTGGCCACTGAAGAATTAGTGAAATATGAAAGAAAAAAAAAAGGCCAAAATGTTTTCGAACTTGTTACAAAGCAAAAGCTATTAAAGGAAACCGAGTCATCAAAGAATAAGAACTAATGCTCCAGCTATGCTAGTGACAGTAAACCAAGTGGTCTCTAGATGGAGGGCTCTGATGAGGGGACTCCCGGGGCTGTGCACATGCACATTAACTATCTTTCAGAGGGTGTGTAGAATGAATCAACACAATCAAAACAAGAGACAAAAATCAAAAAAAAAAAAAAAAATTCCAGATCCTATTTCGATATTCTTATCTTCCAGAATGCCAGTGGCCAGCTCCACATTCATTATGTTCCCCAGACTACCCTCAAATCCATCAAGAGTGGTTATCCTTGCACCAGACCCACAAAACCAAGAATGTTAGAACATTACTATTTTGCAATCCCCAGTGAAATAATAGGTCTGCAAATTGATCAGCAGCTGTTAAACACATCAGGTGAAATGTTATTTAAATTCTTAGTCTGTATCAGGTATGAAAATTCCAAAATCCAGGCATGGTGGTGAAAACTTGCTATTTGCCGATATCCATCCATACTTCTTCCAGAGCTTAGCTGGTACACAACGCCTAGAATACGGACTACTTTCCTGCCCTCTCTGGCAGTGAGTTGTGGTCATATGACTAAGTTCTAGTCGGTGACACGAAAGCAAAAACGCATGTGGTAGCTGCTAGAACCTTCCTGGCAACACTTGCACTCTTCAGCTTCATTGCTTCTTAAGTCCTGCTGCCTAGATTAGAATGCAGTCATTTTGGGTCATGAGTCCCAGCTATGCCCAGTGGCACAAGAGCTGCCCTGCAGCTGCCCTGCAGACTTCCCCTTTGATGTCTCTGGCCAGAATGAGATTAGATACCCACTACTAAAGCAATCACAGGCAGAGGATAGGATTATCACGAGTAAACCATTCATATTCAGTAGGGTCCACCTTTGGAAATGGGGATGGGATCACCTTCCCCGAGTCACGGTAGGGGAGGGGTGGAAACAGGACGGTGGTACAAGTTGTGCAGTGCACAACAAAGGGGGCTGGGAGGGGTGTGCACCTTCACTCATTGCCACTTGTAGGATTATTATGATCAATTTTCAGCAGATGGCAGTAAAGTGCTTGGGGAAAGGATGTCTTTTTTCTCATTCACACAAAGTCAGGGTGAGCTGACAAGGTTGGTAACTAACAAAAACCAAGATTGCGTTGGAAGGAAGGTGGGGGGGGTAAAGGTGGGAAATGAGTGCTTGGTAGATACTGAGATTTCTGTAACATAAAGTAAATAATCAAATCTGTAAACCTTTTAAAATTATATGTAGTAAATTCTATTTTAATGAAATAATCCATTCCAGGCTTACAAAAAATTTTTAAAATCTTTATTCAATTTCAGTATAATGGCTCTGGGGAAAAAAAAAAAAAGAATTCTAGACAGATATCCTAAGCTGCAAAACCCACTGTCAATACCAATAAAACGTTTAAAATTAGCTGTCAAGATTGATTTGTATGAGAGCAGCAGCATTCAGACAGCAAAGACCCTACCCACCCCCCCACCCCCCATCATATCACATGATTAAGGTATGTAGGAAATTACTACATCTTGAGGAAAAATACCAGTTGAATGGATGAAATATTATCACTGAAGAGTAATCACATTATAAAGCATGATTCATTTTAAGAAATCTGAGATTTAAAGAAAGCATTACAGTTCCTTCACACTCCTGTCATATGTCCACAGAAAGAGAAAATATGACCAAAACTCAACAAGAAGGCAAAGTTGGGAATACAGAGTGATACGTCAGGAAACATTTTTTTTTTTTAAGTGAGACTTGGTAATTTTCTTGTTGCTATAACCTCTGCCACCTTCTCTTAGTACCAAGGCACAACTGTACAAGTGATTATGGGATATAAAAATGCAAGGAGTTTTCTTTGGGTCAGTTTACACTTTGGATCAGTAATAAATACAACGCGTGTGATGAAACGGAATTCCCTTCATATCTTCCCTGTGGTCACGGGCATAGTCCCACAAGTAATAATCCAGAAGAATGGAATTGATCTCGCCACTGGTTTTTTCACCCTTGTTTTCAATAAGCTCCAGAAGACAATCCCGGATCAGTTCAACACACCACAGTGAGCACCCTCTGATTTCCACCTCTTGCCTATTCCCATACGAGAGCATTTCTCCTGCAAGGGGGGAAAAACAGAGCAGGAAGTACTAAGTCAGTGATATAAAATCTACTTAGACTTTAAACCACTTCTAAAATAGGCATTAATTCTAAATTACAAGTTCCACAAGAGCAGGGACCATGTCTGGCTTGTCCTAATATTCCTGGGACCTAGCATAGCACCTTGTACATACTAGCTCCCCAATAAATATTTGCTACATGAATTTGGGGTAACCATAAATTTAAAAATATGATGACAAGATTATTAAATTCTTGAAAACAAAGGATTTAAAATTGGATTTGATAGCCAGGAAAAAAATTACAAAATTTGGAGGACTCCAAGGGGACCAAAAAAACAATACCTCCCTTCCCCACTTGAAAATTGAACATTGTTGGCGCACCTGGGTGGCTCAGAAGGCTGTGTCCGACTTCAGTTCAGGTCATGATCTCACAGCTTCTGAGTTTGAGCCCCGAATCGGTCTCTGTGCTGACAGCTCAGAGCCTGGAACCTGATTTGGATTCTGTGTCTCCCTCTCTCTCTGCACACCTTCCCCCCCCCCCCCC